CTTTTCAGGCTCGTTGTTGCACCAGGCTGTCGCTTCTCGCTCAGGTTTCCGCTGAGATTTGCTTTGCCTCTTAGGCACAGAATTTGCTCCTGTCTTACGAGTTCCCCCTCTGCGCCTGGAGGGGAAGGGAGTAAAATCCGAGCCGCGTACGGCTGCCGGTGCCGTCCTACCCGGGAGCGTTTTGCACTGCGATTTACTTGCAACAATCTGAAAAACAAGAGCGGAAGTGGAGTTCACCTCTAATTATCGTATGCCGTTACCACAAGATACTCTCTGATGCGGGACCCCTGGGGCTTTTATAATCCCCCTTTTAAGCACCTAGAGCTGAATGCAAGCTGGAGGAAAAAAATCCATGGGTTTCGTATTCGTTTTGTTTAAAATGCAACTCTCTGGCTAGCGCTGCCTTGTGCGTTGTATGGAGACCTATTACCGCATGGTTAATAGCAGGCGACCTGTCCGTCTGGATCCATTCGTTGAAGGCAAAGTTTTTAGGAAAAACTGCATTACTCAGGCTCTTCATGCATTACCGGTAAGGGGCAGTCAGCTCTGACTGTACTATCATTAAAAACCAGCAGTAAAAAGCAGTATCAGGAGCCAAAGCGTTTGCCCAAGCCTCCTGCAGGAGCAGGATGGGGAATTTTTTCCCGGCTCTGCCCTTGAGAAATGAAGCACCAGTTGCAGTTGGGAGCGGTCAACGCACGACGTGGGGTTTCGGCTTTGCCGAGGGGGCCGCGCGAGTGGTTTCGGCAGGCTTGGCGCAAGCATCATCGTGCCGGAGCAGGAGCCCTCGCCGCGACCGGTGGGACGAGAGCCGCCTCGCGGACTGCGGCGTCCCGAGGGTGTTCTGCTTATCTGATCCCCAGATAATGATCGCATAGGATAAAGCTGCATTCGCAAACATAGATTCTGCTTTCCACCCATCGATTTGCTTTGCCAAGTGGGACGGCTTCGTGTTTCCCCGTTTTACCCGGGTGACGCCAAAGCACAAAGACCTGTGTAGGTCTTACGTTTATTAGTAAAATCCTGCCAAGCACAAGCACGGTGATGATCTCCCACATGCGGAGTTTGTTATTGCAAATACCAAATCACAAGGGCCTGAATCAATAAACCATCTCCCAGCTATAAGCAGCAGGTCGGCAGATTACATATTGCTTCCAGACAACGGTTTTAGGCGCCGTTCCCCAACACGAGAGTTGCTGAGCTAACGGGACTACTGATGGGAGGTGGGGTTGGGCAGGGAGCTCGTGGCATCCCGAACTTCACGGTGGCGTGGCGACGACAGGCTGCTCTTAGTGATGCACGGTGATGGACAAAGGCAGCCTGGGTCTGCCGAAACAGGGTTGCAGCGTTTAACATCTCCGTGAACGTGAGGACCACTCCAGTGGCACAGGTTGGACGGAACCGAGTCCAGTTGGTCCGTTAATTAATGGATATTTATGAGCAGATGTCTGAAGTTCCTACGGAAAAGAAACAACTCCCGCTGCAGTGGATGGCGGTTCTGACGGTTGTTTCTGGTGCATTACTGGTTCTCATCTCTCTGGGAGTAAGATGATAGAAAGAAAAGCCAGGACTGTCTGTCCACCCACACACTGCAACTCGGGGATAAGGAGAATTTGGAAATAGAGCAAGGTTGAGCGCTCAGGAAAAAAAAAATTATGTGGGCAGGACTTGAAAAGAGGAAACGTATTGAGAAGAGGAAACTGGTAGATGCACTCAGGGCACATGGTCTTATCAAGGGTGCTTTTCTCTCCAAGCCCATGAAATCTGCAGATCGCCTAACGTGGTGAGAAGCTGGGACAGTCAGGATTTTTAGATCTGGATACGAGACCCCCTAGAAACAACCAGGCCACGTTCATAGTGCCTGTGAAACTCCTGCATTAACCCCAGTGTCACCATGGTCGTGGCTGAGCTCCACCAGGACGAGACGGTGCTTCAGCCTTTGCCCGGCTCTACCAGTCAGAAAAGCATCAGCAAGAGCTGCCCCAGCGCCCCGAGAGGTCCCGTCCAGGGACGATGCACCCAGCCTGGTTTGCTCCTGCGAGACTCTGCTCCTGCCTAACTCGTCGGGCGCGTGATTCCTGATGCAAACCTTTTGACTTCATCTTGTAAAGGTTGCGAGGCAGACGGAGGGTCACTGGCATGCGTGTCAGGGCTCGCCAGGGAGGGAGAGCTTCAAAAGCCGAATGGGAAAATACTACAGGCATCTGCCAGCAAAGTGAATAAAAACAAGGCACTGCTGACACTGATAAAACCAGCAAGGAGCTCTTTATCTCCTGGCTTCTCCTGCTGCTGCACAGCTGCAGCACCGTGTCACCTCAGCCCTGCTCACGGTGTCCTTCTGCATCCCCTTGGTTGTGACCGAGGTCTCGGTGATTGGGATGAATTCGTTGGACTGTCCAAGCCATTTCCCATGCAGCATCTCTCTAATTGGGCATTAATTAGGCATCAGTTAATGAATGCTTGAAATAATTTATCTTTGGATGTGTCCAGTTTGCAGTCTTACTTTTAACAGCATTATCTTCATTATTAGATTAACATCATTATAAATGTTCTTCATTACCTGCTTGTTTCCATTGTATTAGCTCTATTATTGAGAGTGAAAATCACTCCTCCTGAATGCATTATTGATGAGTAAGGACTTTCTATATGTAGCACGGGGATTAATTGTTATACGGCGTAATGCATTTAGCGTTAAGCCTCAATTTGTGCAAGAGCTGCAACGGCCGGGAGAATGCAGGCGCCCGGAGACAGCATCCTTGTCCAGATACAGCAAATCTTCCCATTCTGCCTCTTCCAGACCGTGTCCCTCCTCACGCCTGTTCCAGCACAGGAAGACAGAGAAAAAGCTGTTTTTTCACCTAGGATCACAGGGCAGGTTAGAACAGCTGGGCCCACGGTGGGGACGGACGGCGGGGACCTTGGCTTCAGCACCGCTCCGCCCGCAGCCCCGGGCAGGGCAGCTCTAAGGACCTTGCCTTAGGCTGATGTTTTCTCCTCTCCACGCAGACGAGCTATATGGGTCACAGCCCGTGCAACGCTGCAGCCGGATCTCGGCGCCGGGACCGAGCAGGGTCCCGCTGCTCTTCCGCGTCTCCTCCAGCGCCATCTGCTCTGGGAGAGCCGGGCTCGCCTCGCCACGCGGCTCATCTGGCTGCTCGCTGCACCCCTCGCTGGTCCTGCTCAGGCTGCCAGATTTATAAGCTCTTTAGAGCCAAGCCCTCGTCTTCTGGCTGGTGATTTATGTGTTTTTGCTGCCATAAAACACTATGTATAGCCACTACATAATATAAATAATAATACTTAACCGGAGTGAGCTACAAGTGAGGACGAAGCATCTGGCTTCTGCTCGCAGCCGGTATTTTCCAAGAGGCAGAAGCTTACTCATCACTCACACTCTTCTGAGGCCAAATTCACACCTGGTGTAACACCACCGCGTAGCTGTCAACGAGCAACACTGAGAGATTTTCCTGCCCCATTCACACCCTGTATCTATCAAGCGACGCTTCCTAAATCGGCCCCGAGTGAACTGGGGCACAAAGACGCGGCTACGACCCCAAGGGAAAATTCACTTTGAAACTCAGGAGCTAACTCAGGGTGGGATGTTTGCGCCACGCGCGAGAGAGAAACTGTTGTTGAGGGAGAAAAAGAAGCTTCAAACGTTCACAATTTCATACGCCAGCGGAAGGATGATGAAAGGCAAGGCCTGAGCGGGGACGGCAACCGGGCGCGAGCCGAGAGCAAAAACTTCAGATCTGGGACGTTTTGACAAAGCAGTGTCAGACCTGGGGTTAGTAGCCGCCTTTTTTTTTTGCAGCACGGAGGATAAAATAAACGCGCCGGCAGCGTCCTGCTGCGCGTGCTCCTGGCGGCAGGGCTGGGCTTTTTACTGGAGCCCGGCAACCACCCATCCACCTTCACCTTTTTTTTTTTTCTTTCTTTTTTTTTTTTTGCAAACGGTGTCATAAATAACTGACAGATCCCAGCTGTTTGGAGTTACGGTTTCTGATGGAGTGACAGCTGCTCCCAATCCCCCAGTCGTCACCCCGGCAGTTCTGGAACATTTCAGCGACATAAAAATCATTGGAGATAATTTCGGTTTTGCATAATTTGGTTAGGCAAGCTGTGATTTAATGGCAATTATGACCTCCGAGGCAGAAGCTGAGCTCGGAGGCTATGGGCTTCGTGTGCCTGTAGCCGGGGGTGCGGCGTCAGGGATATTCCAGGGAGAAGGTACGACAAGAAACAAATCCTCTACCGACAGCTGGAGATTGTGTCCCTTCGCCGGCAGGTGGAAAGACTCTTCCCAGAGGAAGAAGGATACAAGGAAATTCAGCATATTGCTAGCGGAGAAAGACTTTGGCCGGTGCCAAAAGACGCGTTGGGAAAGACCTTTCAAAGAAAGGCTACGAAAAGGTTTTTGGGTGCGGAAGTGCTGTAATCCCCGCGAGCTTCCCAAACCCTCGTGCAACACCTGTAACCGGCAGAAACCTCCTCTTCGCCGCCCTGACCCTGCCTCAGCCGCCCCGAGAGCGGCGAAAAGGCAAATCCTGCTCGCGACACCGGCGGCACGAATCGGCCGTGGGTCGGAGCCGGCTTTCGGCTGGGGCTGAGAAGGTGCAGCTTTCTCCAGCCCGATCGTTGCCTGCATTTTGCTGTGAGATAAAGCTCAGGACAGAGACCTAGGGTCTGCAAAATCCCCAGTCCAGCCCCAAAT